TACAAGCAGAAGGTAAACAAAATTCAATCTGCTGTAGACGGTGTCCAGTGAGTAAAGTCCAGCTCATGTATATTCTCATTGGTTGTTGATGTTACAATGACTGAGGGGACAGCAATAACGTTACTTTAAAACGTATGCTCTGTACATGTTATTGGGATTTCAAAGTGAATTCCATTCACATTCTAAAGAAGAACTATTCCTACTGCATACAATTCCTTTTCAGCTGGGAGAGCTGAAGTACCCTTTCAAATGAGGTGAGCTGCAACATCCCCTTGCTTCTCCTCTGTGCCCCTCTGTTTAAGCAGGTTCTAAGGTTTTCGCAGCAGTAATTGGCTGGGCTGTGCAAGGTGATCTCTATCTGTGTTGCATAATTGGATTTTACAAGTAGGCAAGATCACTCCCTTATTTAAATACAGAAACTTAAATAAAGAGTAATGGCTACACTTTAGATTAAATAGGCCTGAACCCATTAAATGTTATCTCCCTTGAGTAAATAATTATTGGTTAGATCCTCTTCTATATGCTGGGCCTTGTATCAATAGTTATTGTTGTAACCTGTCAGATATTTAAACATTAATCCTGTCTCCTCTCTTGCAAGTGGGCAGTGATCATGGTACAGAGAGTAGGGAAGCCTGATTTGAAATGCAAGGCACTAGAGTATCTGCTTTTTCCGACTCTACACAATGAGAAGAGAAGCGTAAGCTCCAAATCCGAACCTCAAAGACAAAAGCCGGCTGACTCAATGGCCAATGCTAGGCATTGGTGTGAGTGAAGGGGGTGGTTTCTCTCCATTGTGATAATAGGGACAATGAGGCTCTGATTTGAATTCTCTTCCTAGCCCAGCTTCTGTTAAATCTCTGCATCAGCCTCCCATTAGCCAGTGGAGCATTGGCCTGTGCCATCCACATGCCAGGGCTAGGGGTGGTCAGGGCTGTACCATTGGAAGCCATCATTGGAACTGGCAATGGAGTATTAACTCTTGGGATGCCCTAGCCCATGGTCAGCTCTTTAAAAGGATAATAGGGGACATCTCCTCTGCTCCAGTGGCACAGATGTGCCTGGGAGGAGAACATTTGAAAAGTTTTAAAACTCTTAAGGAGGTTTGAGTTAAAAAATAATCGCAATGCTCAGCTCTTTACAAATACTCACTGATTATGCCTAGGGTGAACAGATAGCAAGTGTGAAAAACCAAGGCACTTTTTTGGGGAGGCGAGCAGTGGGTATAGTTGCATATCTAAGACAAAGCCCCTAATATCAGGACATCTGGTCACCCTAACTATGCCTCACATTGCCCTGTGTGCGAGTTAAATGAATGCTGTTATCCCCATTTTGCAGTTGGGGAAACTGAAGCAAGTAAGTTGTTACTTACCCAGGTCCAAGGAGGAGATTGCTGTCACAGTCTGGATAAGAGCTCTGGAGCTTCTGGCTCTCAGTCCGCGGCTTGCAATTTAAATTCACATGCAGGAGTCAAAAAAGGACTGGGTCTTTAGATAAATAATAGGAACATCCCCAGTTACCGTTGCTAGAATTTTTTTAAACAATGTAAGAGTTAGAGACCCTCTTGCCTCAAAGCATAAACCACCCATTAACTGCTTGAGATTAGAAATAAGCAGGTGCCCACAGGGGAAATTTACATAATTGTCCATTGTGAGATTTCTTGCACCTTCCAGTGAAGAATCTGAGATTGGCTATTGTCAGAGCCAGATATCTCATATGGCCTGGCAATGCATATGTCTAGGAGCTCTGAAATCACAGGAAGGGCGTGAGAGAAAACTCAGGGAAATGGCCCAAAGTTCTAATCTAACTTTCTGTCCATGTAACTTCTGTCTAATTTCCCAGGTGATTCCTCTATTTACATGGGCACAGAGCTAGGGTGGGGGCTTGCCATGAAGGACAACCTCCTTTTATACAATTTGTTCTTAATGTTTCTTGTGTGGTACAACTATAAATATAATGTTAGCAGAAAGAACAAGCTACAAAAGAGCAATGAAATTCTATATTAGAATTGAAAGTGAAAGAAGGCTGTGCTCTGTAATTTGTCTGACAGGCTGTTTCCAGGAAGTATCTGATGAAACTGATCCCAGAGCTTGCTGTAATACATAAATTAGCCTCCTCATAAAAGCGTTATTGGATCTGGTGATTAACTGAGAGTGACTCATGGGCAGGGGTGAGGAAGTGGGTGAAAGATAATGTAATGCTAGCCTGACCTGCAACATCCATTAATTTAAATGGAATTCTGGTCATTTGCTTTCCTCCCAATGTTCTTGGTCCCTCTTCTCTCAGCCACATGCTCCCTAGTTTCTGGTTTTCCTGTCATTCCCCCAGGAAGCACATTGCCATCTAATGATCAAAGGAAGGAAGAATTTCAGGGCAACCATATGGTCATGGGAGGAACCATGTTTGTTAACTGGGAGTATAGAATTGAATCCAGATTAAAAAACTAGTTGTGGCATTCAGTTCTGGTGCTAAGAGACAGTAGAGATGTGCTGTCTGATCACTCATCTTCTGTGTACTGTAGGGTCCGAGTCTTTAGGCTAGAGTTGATGGACTAATCTCAGACTCATAAAAGCCAGAACTGGTCAGCCCTATTACATCATCCAGTTCCTCTCCCAAGGGCCAAGGAAGCAGCATTCCTATTATCAATTTTCTTATGTTTTCTCCATGACTTGGAATGGTAAATTTAATCAAAAAAGGCGAAGATGCAGGTCAGAGTTTGTGGGTACCTCCTCTTCTCATTTCCATCTACCCCCTGGCTATGAAATTCACCGTGCAAATTATATGGCAGCATCAATGCTATGTGAAGTATACAGTATGGCCAGCCTACTTCTGCTGGTGCTTCCGGTAAAGAGGCAAAAGAGCTGGACAGAGCAGGCACGAAGTAGGGAGAAAATAAGGGGGGATGAGAAATGCAACCTAGAGATGGTGTGAATATGTCCTGCAACAGCTATTTCCTGCTTGTGCATTTTAGTTAAAAAAGGAAGATGCTGGAGCAGGAGTTAATTTGTCTGATACGTGAAAAATGCATGTTGGGGGCAGGGCCGACTCTAGGTTTTTGGCCGCCCTAAACAAAAAATTTTTTGGCTGCCCCCCACCCCAGCCCTGGGTTCTCTCTTTCCCCCCCCCCCCGCTGCCCCAGCCCTGGGCTCCCCCCCACCAGTGATGACTCTGCCCGCTCCCCCCTCACCTCCAGCCGGTCCGGCGCTGGCAGGGTCGGGGTAAGCAGCGGGGCTCCCGGGGTAAGCAGCGGGGCTCCCAGGCCATGCCTCAGCCCAGGGTCCCTCCATCCAAGGCTCCCGCCTCCAGGACCGGCCGGGACCTGGGAGGGCAGAGCCGGGGGACCGCCCCGGCAGAGGGCTGAGGAGCCGGGGCAGGGTAGCCCCAGAGGCAGCGGAGCCCCGGAGAGTGGGATGTGGGCCCTGCACGATAGCGCCCCGCCCTCTATGGCCCCGGTGCAGCTGCTGCTTCTGGCCACCCTGCCACAGTCCCTGGGTGGCTTGGGCCGCTTCGCCCAGCCCCAGCTGCAGTGCTGGGGGCAGCCGCCCTGCAGCACCTGCAGGCGGCTCCGTGTGCCCCGTGCGGTGTCCCCCAGCCTGAGTGTCCCCCGCTCAAAGCCTGCCTGGCTCAGCCACAAAGTGGGGGCGCTGCTCCCCCGCGGCACGAACCACAGCGGCTACAGGGCGCCCCTCGCACATGACGCGCTGCTGCTGCCAGGGCCAGCTCTAGGTTTTTGCCACCAGAAGCACAAAAAAAAAATGGCCAGAATGCTGCCCTTGAAAATGTGCTGCCCCAAGCACATGCTTGGTTTGCTGGTGCCTAGAGCCGGCCCTGGTTGGGGGCGATGTACTATGCTGCGTAGAAGCAGCGGCAAAGGCTCTACGTGGATTAGCATGTCCAGTCGCCTGGCCATCCTCCTATCTGTCGTGGGAGGGGAGGCAGCAGCCTGTAGACTACTTGGTCCTTGTCTTATACGGTATCAGCTACTGCTGGAGGGCACGGGAGGAGGGAGAGAAGGGAGCAAGGGGGAGAGAAGGGAGACACAGGTGCGACAAAGGGGGAGTAGGCAAGAGGCAAAAAGGGGCCAGGGGCTTAATCCCCTATAGTTGTGCACCATTCCCCTACCACAGCCATTAGCACCCTTCCCTGCTCCCAGCACCCAAATACATCCTCCCCCCTATGCCCACCACTGCTCTGACCAGCTCCTTCGAGCCCCTGCCTCCAGTATCAACTCGCCCCAGCCTGCCCCCCCACACCTACAAGCACCCCAACCCCTTCCCCACAACCCTTCCCCCCCACACCCACCAGCACCCCGACCCTTTCCCCACAGCCCTTCCCCCACCGGCACCCTGACCCCTTCCCCACAGCCCTTCCCCCCACACACCCACTGGCACACCGACCCACTCACCGCAGCCCTTCCCCCACCGGCACCCTGACCCCTTCCCCACAGCCCTTCCCCCCACACACCCACTGGCACACCGACCCTTTCCCCACAGCCCTTCCCCCCCACAACCTCCCCGTTCCTCACAGCCCTTCCCCCCCATACCCACCAGCACCCCGACCCCTTCCCCGCAGCCCTTCCCCCCCACAATACCCCCCCGTTCCCCGCAGCCCTTCCCCCCTCCCCCACAATACCCCCTGTTCCCCACAGCCCTTCCCCCCCCACAATACCCCCGTTCCTCACAGCCCTCCCTTTCTCCTTCCCGCCCTGCCAGTGAAACGGGCCATTCAGGACCCTGGTCAGCTCCGCCAGCTCCCCCCGCCCACAGTGAAGATGGCGGCGGCTGCCGCCTGCGCCGGGCGGGCGCTACCACTGCGGGGCGGCGGGAGGGGAGCGGGAGGGCGGAGCGGACCATCGGGGCAGCCGGGAGCCATGTTGGGGCTGCGGGAGGAGGCGATGCCGCCGCCGCGGAGCAGCCCGGCCCGCACGGGAGGCAGCCGCCGCCTGTAGATGGTGGCGGGGCGGCGGGGGGCAGAGCCAGAGGCGGAGCGGGGCCGAGGGAGCGCTAGGGCCGGGCGCCCAGGGGCGGGGAGGGGGCCGGGGGGAACATGGCTGAGCCGCCGTCGCCGCTGCCGGGACCGAGCCGCCGGGGGCGGCTGCTACTGCTGCTGCTTCTCCTTCTCCCTTTGTTCCCCCTCGGCCGGGGGGAGCGGGGAGCCGAGGGGCCCGGGGGCTGCGCCCGCCGCGGGGAGCGGGGACCCGGGGAGAGCCGGGGGCAGGCGGGGCCGAGCAGGGGGCTGCCGTGCGCGGGGGGCCGCTGGCGGGGCTTAGTCCTCCTGGGTGAGCTGCGCGGAGCCGGCCCGGCCGCCGGGGGCAGCGGGGGCTTGGCCGCGGGCAGGGGGTGTCGCTGCGGCTGCCCCCTCCTGCGGGCGGGGGGTCGGAGGGGAGCCCTGCCGGGGAAGCCGCGGCGGGGCAGTGGGTCTCCCCGAGCTGGCTCGGGGCCCCCGCTGAGGGGCACGAAGAGGACTCCGCGCCCGGCAGCTGCCCAGGGGGAGAGGGCCGGCGGCTCCCCCTGCTTGTGGATTATAAACGCCCGGGCGCTGCCCCCGAAGCCGCCGGGCCTGGCACGGGAGGGCGCTGGGCAGTCCCGCACCCAGAGCCCCGGCGGCTGGGCAGCAGCGCCGAGCCGCGGCCGCAGGACTAGCGGGAAAGGCTGCACCAAGCCGCCGAGGCACCAAGGCGGGGAGCCGGCCGAGCAGCCAGGGAGCGGTGCGGGTCTGGAGCGCCCAGGCATCTTCGCCTCCCTTGGGACCGACTGCAGCGGGGCCCGGAGCCCCGGAGAGGAGGCGAGCGGACAGCAGTGGGGCCGGGACAATGGGGCTGGCTCCCTGGACAATGCGGGCGGCCAGAGGGACGGAGCCTGCTGCGGCTGTGCGAGCCGGAGCCACCTGCGCGCTGCCACAGGGGCCCCGAGCTCCCCCGGGGGCTGGCTGAGTGCGGCGGGGGCAAGGCACTCCCTGCACGGCGAGAGGCTGTGCGTAATACAAGTGTCCAGGCACCAGCCCAGTCCCGGAGCGTCTAACTGCACGGATCCCTGGCAGCTGGAAATCTGGGGGTCCCTGGCCCCGGGGGCGAAGCCCCGGCACCCGGAGAGGTACCCGCCGGCCTCGGAGAGCCGCTCCTGCTTTGCAAAGATGCAGCGGAGGCCGCCAGCCCGCCGCCGCGGCCGCTCGCCCCTCAGTGAGTGGCTGACCCTAGTGACCTGCCTTCAGCTGTGTGCAGGGAGACAGCCGCACGGGGGCACGTCCTGCCGGCGCGCAAGTGAGTGCTGGGGGGCCAGCCCGGACCATACTGTGCGCTTGGAGAAAGCTACGACAGGGCAGGCGCAGGCCGGTGAGTTGGGAGAGGTCGTTTCAGCACCACCTGCGCCCGGGACAGCTCCCAGAGCGGAGCTAGGACTCGATCCAGCCCGCGCTCCGCCCACGCCGCACAGAAAGCAGGATCCCTGTCTGTTTTTTCACCTGTTTGATTCCACCAAAGGCTGTTTACAAACTCTTTGCTTTGCCGTGGACTTTGGGAGCCCGTCAGCCCTGGAGCTCTTTGCTCACCTGCCAGTAAAGCCTAGTCCAGCTATACAGCTTGATCTATCACATTATCCGCCAGTCAAGCAAAGGAGGAGGAGAGAGAGTGCATTCCTACCATTAGTAAGGACTGGCAGGGCAGCCAACCGCCACCCCCACTTCCCTCAGTACAATTACCAGGTTCAGGTGGCTGAAAACCAGCCTCCAGGGACTCCTGTGATAACTATGGCAGCACAAGACCCCGATTCAGGGGAGGCTGGGAAGCTAGTCTACTCCATGGATGCCCTGATGAATAGCAGGTCCATGGAGCTGTTTAGCATTGACCCCAAGAACGGTCTCATCACCACCACCAAAGCTTTGGATAGAGAGACTATGGACCTGCACTATTTCCGGGTTACTGCTGTGGATCATGGGGTCCCCCGTCTTTCTGCCACCACCATGATTGCTGTAACTGTTGCTGACCGAAATGATCATGACCCTGTTTTTGAGCAGAGTGAGTACAGAGAGACTATTAGGGAAAATGTAGAAGAAGGCTACCCTATCTTACAGCTGAGGGCCACCGATGTGGACTCCCCACCCAATGCAAACATCAGGTATCGATTTGTGAATGAACAAGCAGCCCACTCTGTCTTTGAGATAGATCCCAGGTCAGGTCTGATCACCACCAGTGGGCAAGTGGACAGAGAGAAAATGGAGAAATATTCTTTGGTGGTGGAGGCAAACGACCAAGGTAAGGAGCCTGGGCCCAGATCTGCCACGGTTAAAGTCTATATCACAGTTCTGGATGAGAATGACAATGCCCCTCAGTTCAGTGAAAAACGCTACATTGTCCAGGTGAGAGAGGATATAAGACCCCATACGGAAATCTTGCGAGTTACTGCCACTGACATGGACAAAGACAATAATGCTTTAGTCCATTATAACATCATCAGTGGGAACAGCAGGGGCCAGTTCTCTATTGACAGTGTGACTGGGGAAATACAGGTGGTGGCACCTTTGGATTTTGAAGTTGAACGTGAATATGCCCTGAGGATACGTGCTCAGGATGCAGGGCGCCCTCCTTTGTCTAACAATACTGGCATGGCCAGCATCCAAGTAGTGGACATTAATGATCATGCCCCAATCTTTGTCAGTACCCCTTTTCAAATCTCCGTCCTGGAAAATGCCCCCCTTGGCCATTCAGTGATCCACATCCAGGCAGTGGATGCAGATTATGGGGAGAATTCTCGTCTGGAATATAAACTAACTGGGGTCTCAGCTGACACCCCTTTTGTGGTGAACAGTGCCACTGGGTGGATCACAGTGAGTGGCCCCTTGGACCGTGAGTCAGTGGAGCACTATTTCTTTGGGGTGGAGGCTCGGGACCATGGCTCTCCATCCTTATCTGCCTCCGCTAGTGTCACTATCACTGTCATGGATGTGAATGACAATCGACCTGAATTCACCCAAAAGGAGTATTTCATCCGGCTAAATGAGGATGCTGTTGTGGGGACTAGTGTTCTCAGTGTCACGGCAATCGACAGGGATGTGAACAGTGCCATAAGCTACCAGATAACGGGGGGGAACACCCGTAACCGCTTCTCTATCAGCACTCAGGGAGGAGTGGGGCTGATCACTCTCTCGCTACCCTTGGACTACAAGCAAGAGAGGCGCTATGTGTTAACAGTGACTGCCTCTGACCGGACCCTGCATGACAACTGTCACATTCATATCAACATCACTGATGCCAACACCCATAGGCCTGTGTTCCAAAGTGCCCACTATTCAGTGAGTGTCAATGAGGACCGTCCTGTGGGCAGCACTGTGGTGGTAATCGGTGCCACTGATGATGATGTGGGGGAAAATGCCAGGATCACTTATTACCTAGAGGACAATATTCCTCAGTTTCGTATTGATGCGGACTCTGGTGCCATCACATTGCAGGCAGAGCTGGACTATGAAGACCAGGTCACCTACACCTTGGCCATCACTGCCAAAGATAATGGGATCCCTCAGAAAGCGGACACCACCTATGTAGAAATCATGGTGAATGATGTAAATGACAATGCCCCTCAGTTTGTCAGCGCTCACTATCAAGGCATTATATCGGAGGATGCCCCTTCATTCACCAGCGTGCTCCAGATCTCTGCCACTGATCGCGATGCCCACACCAATGGGCGGGTACAATACACCTTCCAGAATGGGGAGGATGGGGATGGGGATTTTACCATAGAGCCCACCTCTGGGATTATCCGTACTGTCCGCAGGCTGGACCGAGAGAGTGTCCCAGTCTATGAGCTGACTGCCTATGCTGTGGACAGGGGGGTCCCCGCGCAAAGAACCCCTGTCAACATTCAAGTCACTGTTCAAGATGTGAATGACAATGCCCCTGTTTTCCCAGCTGAAGAGTTTGAGGTTTTGGTGAAAGAGAACAGCATTGTGGGCTCTGTGGTGGCCCAGATCACAGCCATTGACCCAGATGAGGGACCTAATGCCCAGGTCATGTATCAGATTGTGGAAGGCAACATCCCGGAGATCTTCCAGATGGACATATTTTCTGGGGAGCTCACTGCCTTGATTGACCTGGATTATGAGACAAAGCCCGAGTATGTAATTGTGGTCCAGGCCACATCTGCCCCCCTGGTCAGCAGAGCCACCATCCACATCAAGCTCATTGACCAGAATGACAACAGCCCTGTCCTCAAGAACTTCCAGATCCTCTTCAACAACTACATTTCCAACAGGTCCAACACCTTCCCTTCGGGGGTCATAGGGAAGATCCCGGCTTATGACCCAGATGTGTCCGACAAGCTCTTCTACACTTTTGAACGGGGCAATGAGCTGCACTTGTTGATTGTAAATCAGTCAAGTGGTGAGCTGAGGCTGAGCCGTAAGCTGGACAACAATCGTCCCCTGGTGGCCTCCATGCTGGTGACGGTCACAGGTAAGATATTTAAACTCTTTAGATGACTGTGATAGTGTAACATTTCCTAGAGACATTCAGGTGGTTCCAGGCTGGAGACTCCAACATGTATCTTGTGGTGCTGAGTTTTCAGCATTTGGGCCATTATTTTACTTAAAATCTGAAAAAATAAAATAAAATAAAATGGGCGCTTATGATAATATCCATACGACTGGAACGTCTTGTAAAGCATTTGAAATGTAAGGATGACAATGTTGTATAACAGCAAAGTGTTGTTATTTAGCTAGAAGATCAGTTAGTCATAGCTTTAAGCATCAGGTGCTCTCTCTAGTAAATGCAAGTATCTGGGATACACTACATAGGATGCTGGCTTGGGAAGCACACTGCTTTTCCTGGTGGCTGAACAGACTGCTCCTGCTGGTTCCTAGAGGCTGCTGACCCAGGGGCTGAATGTGCCATCTCTGCTTTGCTTGGAGCCCCTTCTAGCTCAGGAAGTGAGCCATTGCCATCCTTTGGGGCCTGCGCATGCTCTTGCCACTGTGTTCTCAGCCTTTGCTGATTCAGGGAGTGAGGGATCAAGCTTGGGGCTTGAACTCAGCCCCTTAAAAAATCGTATTCAAATGTTTGCTGTTACCATTCCCCTTTTTGTTCTCCCTGCCCTTCCAAAAATAGTTCACGTTTTAAAATTCTGGTTTTGGAATATTAATACTACAAATATTTAGGGGTCCATTTTCAAAAGCAGCTTTTTGGAGTCTAGGTTATTGCATGCACAGAAATTGGGTGTAAAAGATCACGCACACAGTTTGAGAAGAGAGGTTTAAAATGTATCCCCCTAAACTGTCAGTGTAGGTCCTTGTGTGCCGTGCATCCTCTGTATTAATGTGTGTATCCATACTAACCTCCCCTGTGACATAGAGAATTATTATTATCCCCACTTTACAGATGTGGATCAGAGGCACAGATGGATTAAGTGACTTGCCTGAGGTCACACAGGAAACATGGCAGAGCCAAATTTGAATGTAGATCTTGTGAGTCCCAGTCCCTTGCCTTTACCACAAGACCATCCTTCCTACCTTGTATAGGATGTTTCTTGAAATACCAAATAACCTATATGTGACTTGTAGAAGGAGGTGGGGGAGGTGTCCATTTGGAGGGTATCAGTGACACAGGCTAAGTTATTTAGCTGTGTCTAGGGAGGCATTCATTATTCATGACTTTCCACAGATCCTCAGCTTCCATCTAACCCTTCCTCCCCCTTCCCCCACCCTACCAACTCGTTTAGTGAGTGAGCTCGGAAAATAAGGCCCTTGTTTCTTTCAAAAGATGCAGTATGGGCTTTAAATGTTGATATGTTCAGTCCAGCCCAGCGTACTCAGCTACAGCACCTCACTAGATTGAGGTTCTTTAGGGGTTAATTGTAACTGCAGGGCAGGGTAATATCATATTCAGACACACACATGCACAGGCTGATTACTAGAGATGGGGGGAGCCGTGCTGACCTTTCTTGCTTCTGCCAGAGTATGTTTATGCAGGCTCTGCCTCCTAATACACTTAACCCTGCACAAAGGCAGGAGGAAATCACATTTCAAGGCCTTGCACTAAACTACCTTAGAACAACAAGGCTCTTGAAATTACCATGTCATCATTTTCCAGTGGAAGTGAGGCTAGAAAAAGCTAAGCTCACTGTGACGAGAAGGATAAGAAAGGAAGCCCAGTCTTGCAGGAGGGGAGCAGAATGGAAAACGTGCCTTTTGTTGGCTTCAGTGGGCGCTAGGGGTGTTTAGGTTTAGACCCTGCTTTGTAAGAATGTCACCTTCCTGTAGCCCTGGCATTTTTTATTATTCTGTTATTTACTGAGCACTATCCATGCGCTTTATAAACATATAGTGATGGAAGGCCCAAAGCTCACAGTCAGAATCAACACAAAATTATAGTGACATCTAAAGAAAGGGCTAGGGGCATTTTGCAGATTAAAATGAACTGAAATTAAAATTTGATTACGCTGTTCATTTATATACAGTGCAGTCCTAAAGCCACTGCACCAAAATGAACTTCCTTCTGTAATACCAGTACATTCATTTCTGAAGATTCACAGCAATAAAAGCACGTTGGTAAGATACCCAGAGCTGTTATCGTATAACAGACCAAGAACATTCCCAGTGTGGGAGAAGCTTTCATTGCTCTGTGTGGGTTTTTGGTCTCTTTGGTAAAATGCTAGAGGGCTACAGACTGGAAGGAAGGTTAGAATATAGCACTACATTGAAGAATAGATTACCACTAAACTGAATATATTAATATACAAAACAGAATATACCACTAAATTGAAGGCTAAGTGCCTATTCAATCTCCATCTCTGTTTGGCTGCCAGCTGTATTTATTAGCTATTAGGACCCTGTCATTGGTAGGGTTAATATGGTGTGAGGAGGAAGGGAAGACTTTGATAGTACTAAAACAATATTATTGCACAGGGGCTGAAATAACAAAACCACTGATAGGCAGCAAAAACAATAGAATTCTTTGGCTCAGAGGAATAAAGTGTTTGAGTTGGAGTGGCAGAGCTCAAAGGAAAATGTACAGGAGTTTCCTGAAGGTGGGTGGGTGGTTCCACCTGGATCCCCCTATAATCCCTCTGGAAGACCCCATGTCAGACCTACACTCTGTCCAAAGAAGGCTGGATGCAGCTCCCTATGGAGCCAATCATCATTAGCGTCCTCTATGCATAAAACCCACCCTGGGGTTATTGCATCTTCATTTTAAGCATCTGCCGCTGTTGAGCCAGGATACTGGATTAGATGAGCCATTGGTCTGACCTGGTATGGCAAGTCCTATGGCAGGCATCACTGCACGAGCCTTTTCCTAGGAAGTGACAAGTTCAAAACCACCATGCACAATAGCTAACTATTCCATGGCAGCTAGCATTTTGCATGAGACTTTGTCTCATCAGTGCTTGAAATCTTTTACAGTGGGTATCAATGCACAAAACCTTCCACATCCTGGCAGGTGGTGAGAGTGCATGCCCAACTCGAACCAAAATGGGTTGCACTTCGGAGTCCTACTGCAGCAGTTGCTGCCCCTCCCGGACAGCTCTGGTGACTAGTCTTTACCAAGTAGCCAGGAGCCTGAGAACTTGCAGCTGTCATCCGTGCCTTTGTTACTCCAGGCTGCACAACTGGAATATGCTGTATTCAGGGCTACCTCTGAAGTCCACCCTGAAACACCAGCTGATTCAGTATGCAGAGTCTGGGTAGCTCACAATGAGCACATAACATTGTTAATTCAGATCTCTGAATTAGACCCCTGTTTGCGTCTCGGTGCAATTCAAAGTGTTGGTGATGATCGTTAAAGCTCGGAAAGGTCTGGGGACCAGTTATCTAAGGTGCCTCTTACCTTATACTTCACCATAGCATTTAAGATCAAGTGGGGTGCACTTGTTGTCAGGTCTTTAGTTTAAACACTCTGAGTCAAATCATTCTATTGAAGTCAATGAAGTTACGACAGCGCTGAATTTGCCCTCCATGTCTGTTGCCAAGTTTTTCTCTGGAGAGGCCCTGCTTTTGGAATTTGCTCCCCTTGCAGGTCCATTAGAGCCCAAGACTAGTAACCTTAGAGCATGGCGCAATATACACTTATTTAGGTTAGGTGTTAAGTAACAGTTTGGTGTTGTCCTTGGATGTTATGTTTTAATCTCCATATTTAAAGCTACCAAGGCAAGAGGCCCTGTAATTAATTTTGTGATAATACACTATGTAAGTTAAATTTGACTGAATTCACAAGATCTCACAAATCCCCCCAATTATATATACCAGAAACTTGAAAGAGCTGCTGATGCCTCCTGGAAAATAGAGAGGAACATTTACCTCAAAAACAATTCTCTCTTAGTTTTTCTTTCCTTTCATGCCTTTCTCCTAAAGACATTTTTGTAAAAAACACCAAGATCTTTCCAACATAGGCATCTCTCTTGCTCCTTATTCCCACATGTGAACATTGTGAATCTTTTTTTGTGGTGGCATCATCATCTCTTAGACAACTGATTGTGATGCTACAAACAGGATTATGACATGAGATGGGGAAAGAAACATCAGAGGCTGCTGAGCTCCTAAAGACAAAGGTCCCAGAGGACATACAAAAAAGCTGGTGTTCAGGGAGAATTGTTTCTGAATAAAATGTTTTCTATGAGGCATTGATTTCTCTGTAGCTTTGGCTTATGGGGCCTGGTGATTGAAGTGTTAGGAAAAACAACAGTAAGAGTGTGTATTCTGCATCCCTCGCTGTTTCTGATTGGCTTGGCATTGGGCACCAGAAAAAGAGCTATCGTTAGGGGGAAAGGGACTACTGAGCTATTCAGGCTTGAGTATTAACCATAAACTGGGATATCCTGAATTGAACTTGTTCCCTGTACTTTGGAGATGGGCTCCAAGTGTGCAGAACTAGTCTCTGATGGCTGCTACCTCAGGCAGCATTTGTCATGAGCAGATGTAATTGTGTCATAATGTAGCATCTAGTGACGTTCACTCTGGGGTCAGAGGTTTGAACGTGATTGGTGGTTGGCTTTCTGCTAGGTCCTTTGGCTTTCACTTACCGAGTATCTTTAGCAATATAGTGCCTAGATATAGTGAGCTAGATTCTTGGCTGTTGTAAATTGGCATAACTTCACTGAATTCAATGGAGCTGCATGAATTCATACCAGCTGAGAATCTGGCCCAGCATGACTGGCACCCTGTAAATACCTTAGCTGGAACAGCAGAGCATCCTTACCCCCATTCCCAACCCAAGTTCACTTTCCTGACAGTCTTTTACCCTAAGCCAGTGGTTCCCAAACTTGTTCTGCCGCTTGTGCAGGGAAAGCCCCTGACGGGCCGGGCCAGTTTGTTTACCTGCCGTGTCTGCAGGTTCGGCCGATCGCGGCTCCCAGTGGCCACGGTTCACTGCTCCAGGCCAATGGGAGCTGCTGGAAGCGGCGGCCAGTACATCCCTCGGCCCGCGCCGCTTCCCGCGACTCCCATTGGCTGGGACGGCAAACC